TTAAAATATAAATACTAATCGGAATGTTTCTGGAAAAATTAATTTTTAGTTTAAAAAATAAATTTCACACAACATATGCAAAAAATCATAAAACTAGAAAATAAATTATTATTTTTATATTTTACAAAATTATTATTAAAAAATATTCTTTAACAGTTTTTTTAGGATTTCAAAAAAGGAAAACTACTATTACATAATATCTTACAAAAGAATAGCAACTTTTAAAAATAGAAACTTCGCATTGAAAAAAAAAAATTTGTAAATAGAAACTTTTTAAAATAGTTAATATCAAGTGAAAATAATTATTTGATAGTAATTCAATTTTTTACAAAATCCTAGAAAAAGTACAACTGTAAAATATTATGTAACATTAACTTCCGTTTTCTAAAATCCTATAAGAATAACATAAATAATATTTGATAGTAGTTTTTTTTTCCTTAAAATCCAAAACAAAATAGAAATTAACATATGTTTTAGGCTGTAACCAAAAGAGAAATGTAAATATTTATTTAATAATATTTTAAAAAAAAAAATAACTTAATGATGAACATGATACTAATTAATATTTATTTAATTAACAAATCAAAATTGTAAAAATATTAGTGATACGAATTTATTACTATTTACACATGATACTAATTAATATTTATTTAATTAAAAAATTAAAATGGTAAAAATATTAGTGATACAAATTGTAAAACTGGTAATTTTAAAATTATTTAATACTAACCAAAAATAATTATTTGATAATTATCTGAAATTATAAACAAGAGATAATTGTAAAAGCTAAATAACTTATGAACTAACTTGAAAAAAAAAGAACAAATAGGAATGAATATTCTCTTAACTGACGTAAAGATAAATATTTAGTTCATTTTCTTCTTCTTTTTTTTAAAAAAGGTTATATGTATAATTATGTAATTAATTTTTTTTATGCAGAAAATTATGGTCCTCCAATGAGCCCATTAAAAGAGAGAAACAAGACTCCAAATTCTATACTTCATATTGAATATCATATATTTGAAATGAAATTAAAAACAAAAATCTTCTTAATGATTGTTTCTTTTTCATGCCTGTTACAACATGTACTAATACAAGTTAATTTCGTAAACAGTTATTCATACAATCGATATCCAGAAACATAATTTTTACTAAGCACATATATTTTTGTGGCTACAAGAATCAAAGGAGGATAAAACTGCATAAGGTATTAATAGTTTCATTACCTCAAAATTAGATGGTAAAATGATGATCTATAATGTTTTCTATTACCTAAACAACTAAGATTATTGCCCATTCACGTATATATTAATCTATAAATTTTGTTCTAAAATAGAGAAATTATATTACATAGGTGGATTTGCTTCAGTATATGATTATGTAATAGAGTTCCTATATTTTTAGAGAAAAATATAAAGATGTGTTACTTTTGTTTTTAAATATAGAGCTGAGAAAAATATTTATATAAAAATTACATGTATTATATAACTTGATGATGAACATATAACTTGATAATATTTGTATACAAAATCGTAATAGATTAATATTAATTATTAATTATATTCTCATTTTAAATTAAAATTTAATTATTAGAATATATCACTAATAAATAATGAATTAATAAAATTATTTAAAATTGGATAAAAAACTTTATTATTACTAGAAAATGCGAAGTAAGTAAGTTAAAATAATAATAAACACAGATAGGAAAAAACTATAAAATATAAAACGGAATACCAATTTAGATATTTTCTTCAAGCAAAAATATCATAATATTTAGGTTTAAACTTACTGATTATTGTTTAAGGTTTAGTATTTTGGAGGTGAAACTGAGTTTATGAGGTTATATAAAGTTTTCAAATGATATATATGATACTGAATGTCATATATTTAAAATTAAATTTGAATTCTTAATTGCCTTCAAGATTGTGTTTTCTTCAGCCTATTACAACATATAATAAGATTATTTATTAATTTATTTTAAAATTTATTATCACAAAAATATAAACTTTTTCACGAAACTATAATTTTTTTTAATATCTCACAAAACTATAATTAAGAAGTTAAATTTTCATATAAAGAGTTATTCACATAATTCAGATTCATAAATTTGGTCTTCAACATGCACATAAATTTTGTGACTTTTAAGACTTATCACCACAAAAATATAGATTTTTTCACAAAACTATAATTAAGAATGTATGTTTTTATAAACAACTATTCGCACAACTAATATTCATAAATATGGTATTCAACATGCACATAAATTATGTGGCTATAAAATGCATCTATGGTCTTCAACATGCACACAACTTTTTGTGGTTATAAGATACATGTATTAATAATTTGATTACATGATAAAAATAAGAACCCAAGATATTTATTTTGGTTGAAAAGTTAAAACTCATAGATCATGCAAACCAAAATATATAGATAATAATAAATAAACAGAAATGTTTCAAACACACTATAATGACAATACAAACTTCACTAAATGACCAAGAAACCTTAGAATATATTTAAGCGAAAAGAATAACAAATAATAAGTTAATGCAAAAATTAATTAGTACTTACAAAAGTGTATGATGTTGGCATTGACTTGATTAACCTTATTTAACTTTTAAAATTTTATTTCACTCAAATTTTTATTTCGGATTGAATTCGATTTAAATTTATAAATATGATTATTTTTTCTTATACTAAGTACAAATATTAACCGGAATTTATGTTGAAAAACAAGTTCTTAATTCTCAGATAAATCTTATATAAGTATGCAAAAGGAATGCTAAAACTAAAACAAATTATTTATTATTTTTACGTTTTATATAAAATCAAAACATAAAAAAACCCATGCAACGCACGGGCCCATATCTAGTGTATAATATGAAGAAATGCCATATAATTTAACTACGCTCAAATACATAACATTTACGGGTACAGTAAAAATTAAGTTAATAATGTTAATACTATGATATTTTATTAACTTATTGAGTTATTAATTTACATAAATTTTTTTAAAACTTTTTCTGTTTTAAAATATATTTTAAAGATAAAAATATATTTAATTATTTTGTATGTACATTATTTTTTAAAAGTTGGAATTTTATATTTGTTTTATTATATTTATTTTTATATAAAATATATTTCATATAATTTAAATATGATTTTAGATATAATTTAACTAAATTTCATCAGAGTCGCCGGTTTGGTTTGCAGAGTCAATATGAGTCTGTTTATGTTTGATGACAAATATATATATATATTTATATATATATATATATATATATTTATATATATATATATATTAAGTGTTAAGAAAATAAAGATAATTTTATTTTGAGCATAACACGAACAACACAATGGTTGGTCTTACTTATATAAAATGCATATATATATATATATAAATTAGTAATTTGTAATTTTAATGGGATAATATATTTATATAGGATTTTCTAACAAGTTATTATCTTATTCATTTATCAATTTGTGCCATATTTTGAACCATTCTAACTTGAGACCGGAGAAATCTATTAATTTATCGAGTTTAGAAAAACCACTTGATAGTCAGGGACCTACAGTGGATTTATTAAAAGCGTATTACTGGAAAGTACGATGTCCTCCTAAGATTAAACATTTCCTATGATAATTGCTATCTAGATGTATTGCTGTCAAGAAAAATTTGCAGGCGAGATGTATACATAGTGACATATGTTGTGACAGATGTGGAACTGCAGAAGAATCGGTTAACAATGTGTTTTTTTAATGTCCTCTAGTACGCCAAGTCTGGGCACTATCGAAGATCCCTCTTAACCCGGCGACCTTCCCTACAAGCGCTCTTCTTCACCAAAATGGATCATTTGTTCTGGCGAGTTACACCTAAAATGGATGGTCATCAATATGCATGAATATTGCGGTATATTTGGAAATGACGGAATGAGAAGGCTTTTAGTAATTTAGACATTGATCCTAGTGATACGCTTTCGTTGGTATAGACAGAATCTATCCTTTGGGAGGAAGCCCAAATGGCACATTTTCAGAGGGTAATTCAACAAGGGGAACCAATTAATATACCTTCCATCCCAGGACGTTGATGTTTCATAGATGGTTCATGAAAATATAAAGAAGGATTGTCTGGTCAAGGTTGGTATAGCACACTTGAAGACTTCGCTGGTTTGATGGAAGCAAGAAATGTTAGAGCTTGCCTTTCGCCTCTTCATTTGGAAATAGAAGCCTTTATTTGGGCAATAGAAAGTATGAGGAATTTGCATTAGTACCGCATCACTTTTGTAACATATTGTTTTCAATTATTGAAGATGGTTTCGGAACCAGAAGAATTGCTAGCCTTTGCAAATTATTTGGAGGATAAGAAACTTTCACAGCTCACAAATAATCTATATACCAAGAACGTTAAATTCACAGACGGACAGAATAACACGCAGTGCGAGGAAACAATCATCTTTTGTCGTGCGATGTCAATATAAGTTGGTTGTCGATCTAAAAAAAATATATATATCGAGTTTCTACTGTATTATCATTTAAGAGTCACTTGTACATTCTTCAAAACATGTTTTCTAGTCACTAGAGTTTATTAGTATATAAAACTAATGCGAAAATAATACTGTGAAGCCAGCCTGCAAATGTCTGTGCAGATGTTTTAGCTAGCAAGAAATGTTTACAGTTTCTCTAAATCAGTAGTGTATCTGTTATTTGGTCCAAATCTTTTACTGAAACTGTAATCAATAACATTTTCTTCGTAAATTTCATAAAGAAGCTGATAAATAAAATACTGTGAATGAGTTAATGATTATAAGTTGACAAAAGAGAATTGATCATTAGAATACTTATTATCTTGATAATTTTACATTTAGAGGAATTATTTGTTAAGCTAGAGACTAAAATTTTGAAATTTGACTTTTATTGGTCATTCTTAAGAAACGTCAAAAAGTCATGTAGAGGAAAGTTACCCTAATCAAATATACGTAAAATAGCCCCCTCGAGATGAGATATTGAAAATTCCTTATATTCATATAGTACAAAATATATATGAAAGACACACAAGACGCACCGTCGATTAATTTTATACATCCAGACAAACAACGTGAAGTCCATTACCACACAATGACTCACATTAAAGTTTTTTTTTTTTAAATCCCTTATCGCTAGGGTTTACGTTTCATCACTATGGAAAACACACCTAACATAATCTAACAACTCAAGCGGCTGATCTTTCCTTAATTAATACACACATATGCATGCATGTACAAACCGATACATACATACACAGAGCCTTATATATATAAATGTGAGATTTAATTAATCATACATTAGGATTGTGGTAGATGATGACGATAGATTTTGTTTTGAAATCCTTGACAAACCTATCTTCTCCTGTCCTAAATGGATTGTTGAGAAGCTCTTTGATTGGTTCAGGTAATGGCTCATTCTTCATTATCTTCTTCCAATACTCTTCTGCAACTCCTCCTGATCTTCCTTCACTTAGATTCGCAAACTATAACAAAATATAACATTTATCAAATACATATATACATGTATAAATTAGATCTTGATCAGTTAGGGTTTTAATATAAAGAAGCTTTACCAGGAGAAAGCTGAAAAGGACAAAGAAGAAGAGGACCAAGTAACGTTGTTGTTTCATGTCTTTTTAACTTTTGTTTTGCTGAGGATTTTTTTCTGGATCTATGATAAATCTTTGGGTGTTATGTTTTATATATAGAGACCCTGCTAGAGGAAGATGATTTCTTGATAATAGTGGTAATTCTCCTCTCTTTGCATTTTTTTTTTCAATTATTATGAAAATAATTTAATATTACTACATTGTAAGGTCAACTTTGTACTGTGCATATTTATTTATAGTAATATTTCTGTATCTTAATTTTTATGTTTATCTAAATTGCAGAGTGGTGGACCGCTAGCTTGAGTAAGGATTTTTGTCTATTCTTCTATGGAGCGATCAACTATTACAGCTCAGAGAGCAACACCAACATTTTTTATATGTAGTAACAATATATAACACTTAAATAATTGAATATAACATAGAAGGATTCTATGATTGATTATGCTAACTTTTGAGCATTTAATTATCTATATAACAAATATTAGTAATCAAAATACAACAAAGAAGAGCATGGACAAAATATACTAATACGGCAGCTAGTATCGGTTTTTCAGTATCTTCAAAACAATTTAATTAATAATTTTTTGGTGAAACACTCTGGAACAAACAACAACAAATAAAGTAATAAACTAAGCACTAAGAAACTATGGTTTACCCAAGTAATCCAACTATGTATTATACTTCTATTGTGCGTGCATATCCCAAAATGCTTCTTTTATTATTATTGATTTTTGCAATAATAACCTGAAAATTATGATATATATACCACAACAAGGTTTTCATTACTTTTAAGGTTCCATATCTCTATTAATTAAATTTCTGATCCTGTATTGCTGAGGATCGTGAGATCGTTATTTTCATGAATTTAATATATTTGCTCGAAGATTTTAATATATACTTGGATTTTCTCTTTTTTTTATTTCTTTTGAATATGTGGTCCTCTAGAGGGTTTTTAACTGAAAAAGACAAGAAGGAAATGTTGGCTTTTCTCCGTGAGAGTTATTTTAATTAATGAAAGAGACAGGCCAAAAGTTGGATTTACCAAAAAAATATATTGTAAGTGTCAAGTGAAGCGGGTCAACTTTGGATGTGTGTACACATTTTGCTATACGACACATCACCTTGCTTTAAAAACTTTCATTATCGAATATTTATAATTTAATATCCATTACGAATTTCATAATTGGTAGTGGGCTACTTATTACTTATTAGCTAAAGAGCCATTGATTAGTTCTTCTTCGTATTACTTGGATTATTAAGTTGCGTTCGAATAATCCAGCAATCTCGATTTTTGTTTGGTTTCATTCACTCGTCTAACTAAATGCTGTTTCTATAAAATCTACAGATAAAATAAGAAATCATTTTCACTGCCATAATTATGTTTTTTTTTTTTTTTTTTTGCCATAATTATGTTGAATACGAAAAATCATTGAGATAAAAAACTGTTAAATTATTAGTACAGTATATTTTAAAAAAAAAATGCAAGGTACAGAAATTACATAGTTACGACTTTGTCAGTCATATATTTCTATAAAAAAGCAAAATATGATTGGCAAACACTTAAGCTAACTCAAAGGAGAACAAAAACTAACGAGAAAAAAAATAGAGAAACAGTTCAATGTTGGAAGAAAAAATACAGTTAACTAAGAGGGAGATTACTTATTAGTAGTCATTGTTAGCTCAAACGTGATTAAGTAAGTTGTTAAATTAGTTAAGTGACTAGTGACTTCTATATATGTACTTTTTTATTGTTATATCTGTACATTCCTTTCAAGTTAATGAGGAAATTAACCATGGGTGATCTAGTCAACTCGAACATGGGATGACAACGACTGAATACTTTGGTCTTGTCCAAGTAAGACTCCAACTCTTAACCCACATCCAGCATCATCGACAAGCTTAACCCCCCACTTTCTAACGTGCAAGTGATGATAAAGTTGGTCGTAGGACAATTCCAAATCAAAGTTTTATCTTTCTACATTGTTATAATTCTGTATTGCATATCGAGTTCAAAATGGTATCAAAGTTTTGAAAGATTCCTCTGATTGATTCTCGTTTTTTTGTTAGCTCCAGCATAACTAAACATCATTAGAAATTAATAAATAGTATTTGTATATAAATAATTGAGCACTCCACCTATACATAACTTTTAACTACAGACAACTAACCACTATACTAGAATAACAACATAATTCAACATTCCACCGATAGCTTTATGTCATCTTTTTATGTATAGACCGACAAGTTTCAAACCAATATTTTTAGTAACCGCGCTGCACTACATGTGGCGTTTGTTATATATTTTAAATTAGAAAAATGACTTATATATAGATAGAGTATTCTTTTTTTCATCTATTAGATTAATATTCAAAATTAACCGTAAATTACACCTAGCCGACAAAAAATACTTCCAGAATCAACAGCCAGCGTAGTAAACATAATTACTCGGGACCAAGGATGAATCCCTAGAGAACAACGAACAATATATAGAATTAGGAAGGAACAAGACCCCTAAAAGATTATGAAGATATAACCATTATCAATAGGGTGAAGCAAGTCGAGAAAATAGGCGGGATGAACGAAAAAAAGGTTGAAGGTTGATATTATTGAGGTGATAAGAAAGCTCCAAAAGATGATCCAACAAAAAACCACGAGCAAACCCACTCAGTAACAGGCTTTAGCTAAAGGAACAATATAAACTCATAATTCATGAGTAAATTACCGTAAACAAAATGTTATGAAATAATGTAATTTACAATATCTACAAAAGCTATGACGAATTATGTGATATGGAACAGACCAAAAGTATATATATAGTAATGACTTTTAATATACCAGATCATAAATTCATCGAACACAAAAAACTACTATTTGCATTGTAACTTTTTTTTTTTTTTTGACATCATTTTGCATTGTAACCGACTAAAGGCAAGATGACTTAAAGCCTCTTATTGTTTAGTGTTTGTGCTTTTATGATTTTCAAATGTATACTATATATATGTATATTAAAAATTACTGTTTAAAATCAAAACCACGTGTTATCTAGTCATTAAATTATATATAAATGTTAAAATTAAAACATTGCGTATTCAAAATTTGATTTGGCAGCCAGGTTTGAGCAGAATAACCTAACTGCATAATTGGTGGACAACAATGGATTAATAAGACCCTACCATATATTCATTAGCTGATCCTCTCAGTTCGATGAATTAGAGGCGATGATGTGTCGAGATTATGATCACTTCAACTTAAATAAAATATTATTTGTCTTGTAATGATCTCAAAAGTATGGTGTTTGGCTAAGTGCAGTCATACTTTACCCAATTTCCTTTTAACTTTGCTAGCTTTTGGAATTTTGTCTAAAGATTTGAAACCGCTTCTACAATTTTCCAATAATAAAAGGGATAATCATGACTACCAGCTTACCTTTAGAAAGAAAGTCATAAAGAAAAAGCTGATCTTAGTGCTCCTCATAAGTGGATATTGGAAATTTGTTATACTATTTTTAAGTTATGATAAAGGTAATAGATAAGATTTATGTATTTATGGTTTCAATGATTAAATGTGGAAATAAATTGTTTCCGTATTTAATGCTTTATGAAACATTTACATTTTTTAAAAGATTTTTAAATTTGTAGTGCCCAAAAGAACAACATGTCACATAAATTGGATTTCCGTATTTAGGGTTTGAGTTATTTCACTGTAACTTCAAATATTTAAATAACCACAATATTTAACATTTTCATTTTAGTTAATTTGGATTTGACTAGACCCTCTGGCTAACAAACAATAAATAAGGTTAATATGTCTTCACAAAAAAATAACATATAATAGAAACTGATATCACCAATTGAACTTTTCTTGAAATAATAATAGCAATATATGTACATATGTATAGTGGTAAAATATACATTTGTTAAATAACATTCACACCCAAAAATATATATACATAATAGGTGTTTTGTCCTAACATACTAACAGAATTATTTTATAGCTACTAACTAATAAATGTATTAATAGTTTAATTTAGAGATAAGAAACCTTAAATTTATACTATTTTATGAATCTTTTAATTTATAAATTTTATTAATTTAAAATTATTATTTTTGCATATTAACATTAATATTTGTATGTAAAATATGTTGTTACCTTTAACCAGTTTTTATGATATGAATTTATAAAAAATAAGATTAAATACATAAATATAAAATTGTTAATATGAAATCTTATTATTAAATCAAATTCTTAGAATTATCAAACCTACAAAATCTCAAAATAAATTAAAAGCACAAAAATATTTTTCGCAGCGAAAGACTATTGCACAAGAATGTTAAACTGAATCCAACTTACACATTATATCACTCAAAGTAAATAAAACTCTTGATATATGCATAATAATATAGTAAAATACCTACAATTATAACTGAATAAACACTGAAAAAGACCAATCATATTGATAAAGAAAACATTAATATGTAATATATAAGATAAAAACATTTTTTATCTATTTTTATTTTCATTTCTAAATTATATATTTGAGAAAATAATCTTTAAACAATCTATTCTTTTTTTTTTTAACTTTAAAACAAAAATTGCTTTTTTCCTATAAGCAGTATTTCTTTATAAAATCATAATATGTCATTTTCATATGTTTTTTAACTTTCAAACTTTAATAATTATAATTAAAATGGAAAATATTTTTTTATAAATAAAAATTAGATCACATTGCTCTTTACATAACAGTCTTCTAAAGAAATTTAAAGAAAATTATAATTCTGTGTGATTCTTGAAAGAAATTAAATGTAAATAGAGTTATTTTTTTTCTACAAATATAAAGTAATTGTTCTAGATAAAAATAATAATATTCTGAAAATATTATCTTTTGGAGCCAGATGTTTTAAAATATAATTCAATTCTGAATAAGAAATATTTAGAAAATAAATATTTTTAAAAACTATTGACATATTTCGTTTAGAAGTAAATATATATTTTTATAAAACTATTTAAATATATTAATATAATGATAAACTAGTTATTATATGTGTATATATAATACTAATAATAAA